TTTATGAATCAAAATACTTAGAAAAATATTCTGCTTTGGAATTTGAAATTAAAACTCTATGTTGTCATTCGAAAAAGTAAAAAACTTAAAAAATGATAAGGATAAAAAATATTTAAAAATATAATTTTTTAATAAAAACGTTGGTTTTTTAACAACTTGAAACTATGTAAAAAATATTTTAAAGAAAGTCAACACTTTTTTAAATAATGAATGTTGTTTGATAAAAGAATCACTTTGTATAGTTCATGAACTAAAATATTGATAGAATATATTATTATTATCTCTATTAAATTAAAATTAATCAACTATTATAGCTAGATACAAACTCAATATAATACACTGCTAACTGATACAATAATATAATCACACACAATTTTATATTAAGTCAAATTAAACCTATTAATCAATAGGCAAGAAAAACAATTATGATTGTAAATTAAAAAAGCCTTTAAATTACCTTTAAATTAGGGAAATTATCATACATATAGAAAATAGATTACAAACATAAAACATAACTTTACATTAACAATTAGGCATATTTACAACTATACTTAGAATAATTAATACCAAATATTATACATACAAATTAAATACAAAATATAATAATAGTAAATTTATTAAATTGATTAATAAAAATAACCAAATTATGAATATAATGAATAATAAAATGCTTAGTTAGTAAATTGTCTAATATTAATGATACATTTAAATCCATAATTAAGTACSTATAATACTATTAATTTCTGAGTTATTTTGTAATTTGGGCAGTGTCTTAACTATGGTAATTTGTTATTCTATAATCAAAAGAAATACTAAGAGTATAATATGTTTCATGTGTTTTTCAATGGAGAATATTATTAGTTGAATTGACAAAGAAATATCAGATTTTTTTATTTTTTTATTTAACAAAACATGATGATAGGTATAAAAAAACTTACCACCCTACTTATTTTCTTTTATTGTTCTAATAGCTTCATCAGCTACCTTGATAGCCAAATCAGATTGTGCCTGTTCTGTAATATCTTGTACATGCAAGTTTTTATAATTTTGCTGTTGTTCTTTTTCTATTTGTTTCCTAAATATATTAATAATATTTAAAAACAATTTTAAAAAATTTAACAAATTTAACAACCTTTCATGTGAAAATAATGAAACTGGTTCAGATGTATCTGCAAAAAATGCATTGAGCGAAGATAATCTTTGCAATAATTTTAATTTCTTCCTTTTTGGATCCTTGATTCGAATTACACCAGTAACACCCTTTAAGTTGAAAAAATGAAAAATTATTTGGATGAATAGATTATTATGAATATCTATTATGACAATATATTATAAATTTATAACATAAACATTACGTCAGCATCAGAGCCCGCATTAGATTCACTCCCACTTTTAACATCTTCATCGCTACCACTCTTGTGTACTTTAGATACAAAATTCTCGTCGCCGGCATCTTTGTTAGTTATTTGAACCTGTTCGTTGCCCATACTCTGTTTTTCTAGTTCTTCAATATTAGCAAACTCGTCATTTTTCACTGTATGGTTTGACCTCTTTTCTAATCAGAAATAATTTAAAAATACTAATTTTCAAACAAGATATGAGAATAATATAATAATAAAAAACTGTCATTGGGGTTGCATGCATACCTCTGGACATACTGCTCATTTAAATAGTTCAACAGGAATTAAGTATAAACTAAAAATTTAGGTAATGGATTTTTAAGTTTTTAAGTTCCGAATTGGTAATGGGATTCATCCAAACAAATTATTTCATAAATTAATTTAAGGAAAACATTTAGAATAATGACGCCAATCATGTCTTATAATAAGGTCATATCAGTTGTTATCATGAGCAATTGCGTCATATTAATCTTGGAATAATAAATCAAATTCAATAAATGCGTTAAACATAAAGGTTATTACCCACCCTTATATCACAAAATCATAAAAAGTAAAATTCAATCTGCTTATCGGGTTTTTATTTACCTGTGATTTGAAATCTGAAGATCACCCCATTCAATAACCTTAGGTTATACGTATGCTTACAYGCGTATAAATGCTTGTGCACAAGCTATGAAAACGTTTACTGCATCCGTGTTTAAGGAAGTCACACAATTCAGCCAACTCACAAAGTCTCGTTTCCCTGTTTATGTTAGGGTGTATRGTGGTTTTTATATTACTTGTGCCGTTATCTAATGACGGTAATATGAATATTGTACATTTTTAAGTACCAGCATAGTTTTTGTGGGCATCAATGAAATCACTTTTATTTAGGTCTATATTCAAGATATTGGAGCAAGGGGACAGCCGTAGCATCCATACGTAGTAGCTTTTTAAAATTTTTATCAGATTCTCGTATAGTTAACTGAATTTGATTTGATTAAATTAATATAAATCAAAAATCGCTTGAATAATTAATGAAATTAAATTTATTAAAAGCTGTACTCAAAGTAGATTTAAACTAATTGGATGATTGATGATTGAACATGGGATAGTTTTAATTATTTTTAGCTTTGGAAATATCCTTTCACAGGTAGTCTGTGTTAATGGTAATAGCAACAAAAATTTATATAATATGAACTTATTAAAAACTAAATTAGATTSATATGATAATTTTTGGAGCAAAATTAATGCACAGTATTTGTTATATTTTATTTTATAAGTTAAAAATACAATATTTACATAATTTTTTTTTTAAATTTTATTATTCATAAATATTTCCTATATGATTTAGAGGAGTATTAGGAGGTGTGGGGGCATAGCCCCTACGGCTTTGTAACGTTTAACAAGTGGTGGGGACGCTCTTTTTTTAAAAGTTAAAAGAGCCCCCCTTTTTTAATTTTGTCAAGTCGAGCACTGCCTATGTATTATAGATTAGTGAATAATTAAAAGTTACTTTTTTTTTAAATTTCTACCAATTAATGGTTGTCCTCTATTTTTTATTACCTATATAAATACACATTTTAAAGATTGTTTAACATTTACTATTATTGAGTAGGTATTATATTATTATTATTCCGATTGGGCTAAGTATATCAGTTTTAACATACATACCTAATCGCATAATGATACCCAATTTAATTTTTYAATTGAGTTTTTTTGTAGTTTTTTTGTAGTTATTTTAATAGATGTTATCAGTAATTACATTTATATTTATACTATGCAMATTAATTATTCTAATATTATTATTCTTATACTGTTTTCCTTTTGATTTATTTGTTAGGTAAGTACTCAATTAATATATTTATAATCTAATTTAATGATTAAATAATTGCTTTAACATTAATTTATGTATGGCTAAATATGTAACCAAACTGCAGCTAACAATTAACTAGGTACAGCTTAACTTTTAAACCAATATGGTTACCACAGTTACCTCGCCTATGCATGGCATGATATTTTACATACTTTTAAGTACTATAAATATTTATAGACGACTGAAATTTTCAATTTGTCTGAAAATTTTTTTTTGAAG